GAACAAGTCGGGTTTCTTTGTTCCTAAATGATCCCTGTCTCCAGGAGCTGTGGCAAGAATTAAGTGACACTGTTGTGGCTAGCCAGTATCTGGGATGTAATCAGTATCCAGTTAGTTTCTTCTCCCTTTGTTGATTTGAATTTTACCATTGGTTTAAATAATTAAAAAAAATTAAAGATTAAGCAGGGAGGTTTGTTTTTAAAAACAGATTTAAAAGTGTTCTCAAAGAAACAGATAAAAAGTTCTAATTCTCTACTACTTCAGGTTATTTTCCTTCTCTTTCCTCTTTGTTAAGACATTCTAACATTTAACAGATACTATTCAGCCCCAATCCTTCAAGATCTCAGCCTTGGTTACTGTAAATTGGTGGAGAGACAACTGTCAGGAGTTTACATCTGCTGGGATGTAAGCTGGCACACCTGTACCCTGGGTGTTTCTTCCCAAAGTACATAGAAGTACAATGAAGCAATTCCAGCTGAATTACCATCTTTGTATTGGATCCTCCCTCCAACAAATGTATTTTGCTTCTGTTTGTTCAAAAGATCTTTGACAAAATGGTGATAGCATTCCTATCTCTTGTCTGTTTTCAGACAAGCTTGCATTTATTAAAGGCTGTTTGATGTTCATCTTTCTGATGGAAAAAGAAAGCCTTAACTCTTTTTATTTGGCTTGAACACTCAGTGTCCTTCCGCACAGCAGCACCTGCAGAGTCATTAGTAAAATTAGATAAGTCACTGATTTATTATTTCTATAAATGCATGGTGTATTTCCTTTATTCAGAGGATATGGCAAAAATTATTCATGCTAGGGGAGAATAATCAAAATGCCTAAAAAAGCACATTTTTATCATTCCAAATATAAGCCTAGCTGTGGTGGTATACTATCAGAGTACATAATAGTAGAAATGAATTATGTCAGTAAACTCTTGAGGTTGAAGATTTACCATGATAAATATTTTTCATTAAAGTGAAATATCTTGGCAGAGTCACTTTCATATATGCAGACTATTGACACAAGGAGGCCAGCTGTGCCTATGCAGATGCTGAGATCTGGGTCGATATTATTAATGATTTATCACGTCATGGAGAGCTTAGATTAGTTTTGGAAGCAATCCCTTGCCACAAAAGCACTTTCTATAATGTGCAAACGCAAGGAATGCTACATGTGCTCTTTACATTAAAGTAGTCACAGAAGCTGTTGCTACCTTTGAAATTTCACTATCTCTATGTTTTTATTTTGAAACATGAAATTTTGCATCCTAATCTGTATTATTCATTAAAATTCATACCAGATGTTATTTCATTTTGGATAGTGAATAGTGAATGTGAATTAATAAACATCTACGCACAGATGAGGGAATGAATGAAATGGAATGGAACAAAAATTTATCTCAAGCCCATTGTGTGCCGTGCACCCAATACTTTTATTTTAAATCTCGCATTGAATGTGAGGTTGGATTAAGTTTCTAATTTCATTCGACAGGATTCCAAGATTGCACTGCATTCAGGGAATATGTAATAACATTGGCTAATATTTATTTAGTGCTTGCTGTGTTCCAGGTAAGATGCTAAACACTTTACACGCATTATCACCTTCAGTCTTCATGAAACCCATTTGAAGTATTGCTATCACCCCTGTTTCACAGATGAGAAGACTGAAGCACAGTGTCGTTGAATAAATTATCCCAGGAGGAAGTGTCTGAATTTGAATCAGATTGTCTAATGTTCCAAAGCCTTCTGCTATTAACTGTGACCTCGCTATTAAAACTATTATTAAAACTAAGTAAGAGGTAAGGTTCAGACCCTATATAGTTACTCCTTGTGTGTTCTTAAGCAAGTTATTTAAACTCTCTAAGCCTCAGTTTCCTCTTATATAAGATGAAGGTAATAATAGTGCTTACCTCATAGACTTGTTGTGAGTTAATATTTGCTTAGAACAGAATTTGGTACATATTTAGTACCAATGCTTTGTTTAATACCTGTAATAGTTGAAGAGTGGTACTCTCTGATGACTGATAAAATTTTATTGACTGTTACACACAGGTTTTCTCTAATTTTCAGATAGGCTTTTATTATTAAAGCTAGATTGGAAATAAAACAGAAGTAAAATTCTGAACTTTACTTTTAAAGTAAATTCACACCAAAAAATAGATTGTAAATTAGGGTTACTACTTACCACTGGTGGGAGATTTATGCAGATAACACTATAAAGCACAGTCAGTAACCATCCAGAGCTTTGAGTGCTTTAAGTACTCCTTCTGGGTATAGAAAAAGCCAAATATCTTCCTTCCCTCCCTTCCTTCATTATTCACTCTCTCAACAAACGTCCTTACATAGGTACTCTGCTTGCCCTGGGGAATACAGGTGAATAAATCCCTACTCTGGAGGAGCAAGCAATTTAGAGATGGCTATACTCTCTGGTTTGGCACATAAAAGAATGTGAACAAGTTCAAGGTTTCATGATCAGATCTGTTTAACAAGTATTTATTGAGTGCCCGTTAAAAACCAGGCACTGGGCTAGGCACTGGCGCTTCCCAGGTAAGTAATACACGATCACTGTGGTTAAGAAGCAGCCAGCAGGGAAGGCATCCTAAACATATGTTTTTCCGTCAATTTGGTAAGTTACATAGGTGAACTTGTTAGGAGAGCGCAGGAGAGAGGTGCTAAACTCATCCCAGAGGCAATGGAATGGGGGAAATTTTGACACTTAAACAAAATTTTTGTTGGAAGTCAAGAAAAGCAGAAATTAAAGTGCATCAAGTTATGAGGAATGAATATCCCAGAAATCAGAGGTGCCACAAGCGAAGACATGAAGGCATGAAACAGTGTCACATGGTGGGGAACGACTTGTCTACAGTGGTGGTTGGGGTAGGGGTGGGAGGCCAAACTAGCAAAGTAAATTGGGCTAATGGGTTGAAAGTGTATAAAAGCAACTGAAAGGGCCAGATGCTAACAAACTGCATAAAGAGTGAGCAGTTTCCTTAGAATTCTTTCCACTAAAATCTAAATAAAAAGAGCGCCATTTCCTATGATTCTGAGAACCAGGAAAATGATAAATCCTTAATAAGTCGAAATTATTTTGATCCTGACCAAAAGATGAAGGGCTGTTCTTTGGGCGCCAGTGGATCGTCTACTTTCCAACCTCTGTTCTCCCAGCAAACCAAAGGGATTGACTCTAAGGGTCTAGACAGATACCAAGAGTGGAAACATGTCTAATTTTTGGCTCGAGGTGACCTGTCACCATATCCTTCTGTAAACAAACAGTTTTTTCATTCCTGGATTTAAAAGCTCAGTCTAGGACCCTGTCAACTGCACTCTCTGGGGTGGCACTCTGGAGAGTTGGCTATCACTAAATCTCAGCAAAGAATTCAGGAATCTAGAGGATTGAAGTTCTTTTCTTTGCCGCTGCAGCAGATACAGCACAATTCCTGAGCTTTCTGCTTGCAGGTGGGTGGCAGTTTATTTCCCCAACAAGCCAGTGGTCACCTTCTCGCATCTTCATTCAGCGCACAGAGTCCTCCGCCTGCAGCGGGGCTTGCTCCCTTGATGGAGAAAATACGGACTGACTAGATGCCAGTAAAACAGGCAGTTTTCTGGGTCAGAAGTTGGCTGGGGAAGGGCCCTGACTGCCAAGTAACTTGCAATGATGTCAGATCCCAGCACAACCAAAAACACCAGCCAGCCAGCCAACAATAGCCTTAACAACAACAGAAAAATGAGAGAGCTGTGTTGCCAAAGCTGTTCTTTCCGCCCCCTACCCCTTTCTTCCAATAGGAAGAACAGCAGGAAGAGAGTTTATATTTTAAAAGCCACCCCCTCCTCCTTCATTTTGGTAACAAAGTGTTAACTACCCAGGAAACAGTTCTCCTGATGAGTCCTGTAGCAAGCAGTTCCTTGAGGTGTCTTTTTTGAGTTCCTTTTCAAGGCTGTCAGTGGAAGGCTCAGAAACAACTCAGAATAGGGTATTTTCCAAATGTAAACTTGTAACTTTGTGCTGAGGAGAAAGCAAGAACCCTCAAGGAAAGGAAAATCCTTTTTCTGCCCCCTTCTTCTCTCTTTCAGGGTAATTAACCATACTCAAATGAAAATTAAAAGTTTGGCGAAAAAGCCCTCGTCTTTCTTTTTCTTTAAATAGAGCACCATGGTTCATTCCAGCCATTTAGAGCCCTCAGTGATTCATAATTCAACTGGAAATTAGTAAAACACAGCTCATTCTTGGAAATGAAATTTGGATTCAGATCCTCTTGTTTTGGAATACATTATTTTTTCCTTTCATTTGTGACAGTCAGTTTTAAATGATGTCACTTCAAGGACATTCTCATTTCTCCCACAACATATTACACGAAACACTTGCCTGTAAAACTGGCTCATTCGCCTGCAAAATTATACTGTACTGAATGGCTTTCGTTCAAACTAGAAATGGGATTTTTAGTAGGCAATTTCTGTATTTTTATAAAGATAAAGCAATGTTTGATTGCTTCTTCCCAGCTGTTTTGGTTAGTGGTTATAAAGAAAAATTGGAAGGGGGTAGGGCGAGAAAGATAATATGGGGGCGGGTTTGTAAAGATGCGCTTAAAAAACACAGATTAGGAAACTAAGGCAGAACTTTACGGAGCAACTGCGCCGGCAGCTCATTTGGGCTGCAATAATTTGTCCTCTGGGTAGCTGGAGGAAAGTGAGGGAGTGAGAAAAAGAGGAGGAGAGGGCGAAAAGCGAAAAGGCTGCTTCGCAGGCTGCAGCAGCCACCGCGAGCTGGATGACTGAGACGCTGGGAGTTGCTGGAAGGAGCAGCTCTTTAGAGGTGGGGAGAGGGAGGGGGCGCAGCAGAGCGACTGGGAGGAGGGACGCGGAGGCCACTGAGGGGTCAGCGGGGCCGCGGCGCCGGGCTGGGGGCCTCCAGGCGGCGCTGGCCGCGGGGCTCGGGCGAGCGCGTCGGGCCACCCGCGCCTCCTGCCGTCCGCGCCTGGGGGTGGGCCCCGCGCCGCCTGACGGATTGACTTGGAGATGGATCGAATTACACCATTTGCCGTGCCTCGATTTGTTTTGCTCCTGCTTGGTCCCGCTGCTGCTGCTGCCGCCGCCGCCGCCGCTGCTGCTGCTGCTGCTGCTGCTGACGCTGCTGCAAGGACCGGTGGTGGCGAGTTTCAGGATTATATCAAGGAAGCCAAGATCTAAAGAGACGGAGGGATATATATGTATATTTTGCATTTTTTCTTTCTTTTCTTTTTTTTTCTTGTGCGTGACAAGCTTTATTTTTACCAGCCTCCCCCCATGAGGTAAGACCCTCTGGTAAAAATGTGCTAACGCTGTGGTCGCCTGGTGGGGATCGGACCTAGATCCTCGGAGCCTGAATCTCAGCCAGTGTGCGCGAGTCTGTGTGCGTTGTCACTGGAGAGTTGATTTCTTTTCTAACCAGCTTTCTCCGCCTGCCGTGCAAGGGACGCGCAGAGGGCTGGAGAGGTTTGGCGGACCCGTCAAAACTGGCAGAGCTGGGAGCTTGGGGGGAGGGGTATGTGGACTTGGAGGCCCCCCTGCACTGTGCACCCCTTCGGGGGAAAGAAGCGGAAGAAAGGGGCAAGTAAAAGTTTCTTGCCAGGCAGCGCCAGGTCCGCGCTGCCCTTACATTATCAGGGGCAACCCAGGCTGCTACGGTGCCGGCCCCGGCGTCTCCAGCCAGCAAGGGAGCCGAGCCAAGGCCAAAGGAGCGGGCTGCGGGATCGGCCACCCCTTTCCGCCCGTCGGCCCCGGAACCGGCGCTGGGACCGCTGGGACCGCTGGGACCGCTGGGGTCGGCAGCACCGGGCCCGGCTAGGAGCGGACGGGCGAGCCCTGGCCCGCGCCTGAAGAAGGGGCATAGCGCCGCTGCGGGGACCCGAGCAGCTCCCAAGCTTACTCCGGCTACCTGTCAGTGCGCCCCTGTTGTTGCGCCTAGTGGCGAGGGGCGGGGGCTCGGGGCACTCGGCCACTCTCACCCTCGAGGCTCCTGCACGGGCTCCTGCCGGGAGGGCGGCCACTGCCCGCCCTCCCTCTCCCCCTGGCTGGCAGAGCGCGCGGTGTACGGGTTCTGGGGCCGGAGGCTGCCCGCCGCCCACCCCACCTCCCACCCGGTGCCCGGGTTTCTCCTCCCGGCCACTCTCCCCCGCAACTTTCCGTGCTTTGTTCTCCGGCTGGAAATGATTTACGGAAGCGTCTTGGACAGGGTCTCCGCCAGGCGGCAAGAGCCTGGCGCTGAAATGTGTTACGTTCTCATCTACCCATCAATTATGGATGGAAACAAATAAGGAAGAGTCAATTTTGCATGAGCCCCTTCTCCGGCGGCGAGAGGCGTCCAGCAGCCGGGAGGGAGCCGCCGCTTGCGTCGGCAGCCGCTGGCAGGGGGATGGTGAGGAGGAAGGTAGGGAAACTTTTATTTCCAGTCTTGTCAGCGATTGTTTGTTCCCGGGTTTCAGGCGGGCTTAACGCTTTCTCCGTCGTGTCTTACTCTTGGGTTGAAATGAAAGGTCATAAAGGACTTAAAGGTGTGGATGAGAACTGGGTTTGAAAATTTTCTGCTAAATCGACTCTCGGGACCAGTGCTGTCAGGTGATTGTTTAAATCCTGAACTTGTGAAAAGCTAAATGTCAGGGAGCTAACGCGGAATGAGTAGCGGTATTAATTACAGCATTGGAGGAAGTCAGCGAGAGCTCCCAGTTCGGAGGTGACCAGTCAGTAACCCAAGTTCTAACATCCCATCCCTTCACCGCTCTCAGCTGGGTGATTTTCACACAGAAGGGACAGTGGATCATTATTATAGATATATAGACTTTGTAAACAGTAATTGGACCTATGTCTACTTCTGCAGGCGGCTACTTTCCAATAAAAATAACGGTAGTGTTTCCGTTTTCTAAAGAAAATAAGTGTCTAAGGCAATTTTCCCAAGAACTTCCAGCTACTAAGAATTTTAAGTCTGCAGTATGTACCTGATATTTGGGGCAATAAAGTAAATTGTTTCATTTATTTCAAGGTTGAAGCCCTACGGTAAAGTTTAACATTTTTCTAGATTGGATTGTCTCTTGTCTCTCAAAATAGGTGAAATACTTACTTGGCGGCTTTTTACAAGGTTTCTTCCTGGTAGAACTGAGAAATCTTAGACAGCTCAAGGTGACGATTTTACTATCCTTGTTGGTGGTTTAAACAATAGGTTTTGATGCCGGTTTATTGATGTTGTTAAAAAATCCCCTAGCTCTCTTAGCTGTCTAAGTCAGGAAATTAAGTTGTGTGTAGTCATGTTTAATGTAGTGAGTGACAGGCATATTCTGTCAGCCTGGCAAGCATTACACAAACGTTTACCTTGCCTTAGATAAATAGAAATTGCCAGATAAGCTCTGAGATTTGGGCCTATGTATGTTACCATGAACTTAAACATCTGAAGATGTGCTATAAACTATAGCACAGCCATAGCGGAGTCTTGTTTTTTATGGTTAGTGTATGTGCTTTGATTTAGGTCTCTAGAATGTGCTCTCAAAAACACAGTTGAAGAAGTAACCCTCAGATTTCCAAAATGTGTTGTTGAACAGACCATTTTCCTCAGTTGGGACATTTGGTTAGATTAACAACCAACTACTGTTTCTTATTGGCTCCTGCAGAATATTTGCTACCTGTCTGTCTTTCTACTAGAGGCCCTACATAGATAACCTTTTTCTGAGGCACGTTTCTGTGATGTGGGACAGTGTGCCAGGAATATTGTGACTTCTCTACCCCCAGATCGCTGGTTAAGTTGAATTGGATTTAGATTTATGGACATTCTTCCCTCTTCCTGTTTTTTGTTTTTTTGTTTTTGTTTTTTGGTCATGTCCCCCCTGGTTTGATGGATTTGAAAGATGGCTGTGACGTAAACCTATTAGTCCTTAGAGGGAGGGCCACTTAGCAATCCAGTGGACTTCAGTTCACTGGCTGCAGGCTGCGCGGGAGGGATCTGTCCAGTTACTGCTGTGGGTAAGTGGGCCCTTGAATCCTGTGTGGTGGTTCCTGCTGCTTGAAAGATACACAGGCAAATAGGCAGGAGTCAAAGCTTTGATTCACAAAGATGCCCATAATTTTTAAGGATTTACTGAAAGTAGAGAAGTTCTTCACTTCTTGCTGCTTCATGATAATGAACCTTGGTAATTAGCTTAGTCATTGTTCTCGCATGTGAATTTCACTAAGATACAAAGAGTGAAAAACGCATCTGAAATAGGGCCATTTTTCAGCCTTCTGATGCATTTTATGCAGAGTTAAGAGCCTGGCTGAATGCCTAACCATTATTGGTGTAACCATAGGAGGTGAACTCCTTCCTTAGCATATTGTAGGATAAAATATTACCTTTTATTTCAATTAATAGACTTTAAACCTGCACATTCTAGATTCATTTCTAGAGGAAGAGGCACTTGGGGTATGCCAACCACTCAGTATTTATTGAGTGTTATCGTTTGCAAGAAGCTATGCTAGTCAGTGTTCCAGCATCAGGTGAGGCAGACATGTTTCTGTATGTTAAACTTAAATAAGAATGGAAAAAAATAGAGACCGGCAAACATACCATCAGGCAAGAAATGTAAATATGCACCCTTTTTCGGGAAGCATATTATTTTACCCTAGAAATTTAAAAGCAAGCTTAATCATACCAGATATTTACAAAGGTCCAGCCTTCCTGCTTTTAACACTAATAATCTAATGTACTATTAGTGTGTAAGTCATGTATTGAAAGTGTCATTAAAGGGGAAGTTCTCACTTTCCATGGCTCATCTGAATGGAGACATAGCATTACAACCTACCAAAGCTAGAGTCTTAGGTTGCTGCTTATTATTGTGAACTGCTGCCAACTTCCAGTTGGGGGAAAAGTGTGTTTTGGTTTATTCCCATGGCATGCGGAGAGAATAAAAATCCTATAACCATACTGAGCATATCATAATCCTTGTTAGCTGAGGTGGCTGTTGTCTGGCTGATTTCTCCCCTTCAGCCCCCACTGACAATGGCAACACAGTTGATGACTGAAGCTGCTTTCATTCTCCCAAAAGGAAAGCTAGGCAACATTTGCCTTCGAAAAGCAACTGTTTATGTAACCAAGAGTGATCAAATCAGTGGTCCACATAGGTGTACTTATTTCTCAAACTTCTCTTTTCTATTAAGCTTCTGTTAACTCACCCAGATTAGCATTTTAACAACCCTGAAGTGAACTTCTGCCATTCTCTCTACTTGGACACAGTGTGTAGATCATCCATCATCCTGTCCTTGGCTACAACAGGCTGCTGGCTCCATCACCATTTGGAGCTACACAGAATCCATCCGACTGTGAACAGCACAGCTGGCTACAGCAATTTTTTTCTTCCACACCACTGGCAGCATTGTCTGGCTGTGGTAACTAAAGTTAACACCCAGAACGGGAAGTTTCCATTGTTTGGCAACCTCTGCTGGGGGACCCTCGTCCAGTCCTGGGGCACACCTGCAGAAAGACTGGCTTGCAGTGGTGTGTTCCCCTTAAGAGGGGACTTAATCCCAACCTTACACGACCCACTGGAAAGCCTCCTCAAGCTTGATACGATTAAACCACCAGAATTACAGAACTAGAAGGCGCCATTCAGACACCACTCAATCCTAGACCTTCAGAATTCACTGTATTTGAAAAGAGGAGGAAAAAAATCAAGCATCTTTTAGCTTGTGATCACAAAAGACTGTAAACAGGAAAGACCTGATCTGTTTCCTTGGAGAACTAAACAGGTTAACTGTTTCATCTCTTTTCACAAACATGTGCTGTGGCTAAATCTGAGATCCATGTCTAATAGTACCCAATGCTTTCTATCACTTTTTTTCTTTTTACTCAATAAGAGATCTGCTGCAGTAGTCATTGTTTATTAAAGCAAGAATAACATGAATTAGGTGAATAGATTTGTTATGTTGCCAAGCTTAAAAAAAACAACAACAACAACAACAAAAAACTTGTATAATTAGAAGTATTGCTTTTGGACCTTGATGTAGGAAGGGGAGATTGATGTGCCTCATGTTCTGGTGGGAGATGGTATTTTTGCTTCTTTTCCCAATAGTTACTAATGAAGTGAGCCACAAAACACCTGGGGTGATAGTGTGGGGACTGAAAAAAAGAATTAATGCTTTTCTTCCCATCTCCTAAGTTCCTCTAGCTGTGCTAATAATCAAAGTAACAGAGTCATATTAACAGGAGAACATCAAATTTAGTACATGTGCAAGGATAATTCACATAGGCATGAAAATTCCAAAGACAGCGAGGCAACACTGGGTTTATAAG